TAGTTTGGACTAACAGGGCCAAGGTCAAAGCAAGTTCAGAGTGAAGCACAAGATGAAAGTTGGTGAAGTCAAACGACCACAGGGTAGTGTAATTTGGAGAAGGTGCTAGGGAAAGGATTAGTGATGGAACTGAGGTTGTGCTAGCCTAAGAGCAGAAGGAAGAGTGTTGTCCTCTCTCACCTAGACATCACCCTCTATCTAGGGTGGGTGGATATCATTCCCTAGTGCTGCCTTACCATTTTCTGCTGGCAAAATTGAATACTAAATTATATGAATTTCAGAGTTCCTAAAATAGGGCAAGTAAACCATCACAGCAAAGAAAGGAAGGGGTTAACAAAGCATAATGATCCTAATGGCAATCCCACAAAGGATTGGGAAGTAGTGCAGAGGCAAGGAACAGGCTATTGAGTAAGGGGTGTTTAATACTTTGTTGTAGACATTTAGTATGTTGCCACAGATGATTCCCATGGCAGGGGGGGACAACAGCCTGTTCAGGGCTGTGAAGTCCTGATAGTGTAGGGCTTTGGGCCAGAAAGAGTTTCTCTAAGACTTTGACTGTTTTGTAGTGCTGCCCAGTGTGTGGTGGAGCTCCTGAAAAATGGCCAGGCTTCTGCCCATTGCTGGTTGATGATCCATTGGGAAATCCAGTTAACTACTTTGAGACAACAAGTTGCTTTAAAACATGTAATAACAGCCTAGGGCCACTTTCACATTTGAATCCTCTGTAAACCTCATGTTTATGTAGGGCAGTTATCTGCTGAAGAGCCCCACACCTTTGTGTTGGTCTCTCCCCTGCCTTGTGGCAGCTGGCAGGGCTGCTCCACAGGCTTGGCCAAGTAGGATGTGGCAAAGTGATCTGTGGGAGTTCACTGGTGGATGTGAGGACAGCACTTGCAGCAACTCTGAGCTGTCTCTGGAGCACTAACAGATTTTGTCTGCTTTCCTGACTGTGTGCCACCTTGTCCTGTTGAGACTAAGACCTTTATACAGCTTCCAGTGTATACACACTACAAAAAACAACAAATGGAAGACTGCAGTAATTGGCCCGAGCACTTTTCCGACATTTGGCTCATTGAAGGAGTGTGCATTCAAATTTTGCTGTTACTTGGAACCTTATAGGGCTAAAACTGTTAAAGAAACTCAGTTCAAATGTGCTTTTCAGCCTACCAGCCTAAGTTATTGGTCTCTACTTCACAGTACCAGCTAAAATGAATAATGATGGTCACCTCATGTGCATGTGCTGGTTAAACCTGACAGTCTCACTGAGCTTCTTCATATAAGTCACAGTTCCTGAGAGACTGCCACCACTAGTTTTTAAAATCAAATTGTTTCATCTTTTAGTTCTATTCATCCTGTTGAGATGCCAATGCAATCACCAGTGCTGCTTGGGGCTTCTGAGTCCTACTTTTGTCTCTACCAGAGTTGGGAGACCTTAGGGAAGTCATCATCCATGTATGGATGAATTACAAATAAGTGGCTTCCCCTATCAAGTGTTCTGAGCTCAGTGGCTGTGTTCAGCTGACAAATTCCTGCACTTTGAAGAACAGACTTTGTGGGTATCATGTGAAATCTCACAAGAAGCTTGAGTAGCCAAGCACCCTTTTTTTGTGTGTGTGTGTATCTAGGGCTCATGGAGACACTGAAAAGTATGAGGGAGGATAGGAGCCCTAGATCTGCTGATGTTCAGATAAATGTAGGTGGTACCAAATGAATTTTGAAAATCCTAATGCTTCTAAGGATCATAGGATAATTCAGGTTTTTTAGTACCTCAGAAGATCTCTGGTACAACACTTTACTTAAAGCAGTCAGCTGTGTGGTCAGACCAGGTTACTTGAAGGCTTTATCAGGGACACCTTCTAGCTAAGTGGGACCCATGCTCACATTTCAGAAATCAGATAAATATATCTTAAGGCTCTGGGAGTAATCAATATGTTTCTTTGTTTGATTGGTTGTTTTTTTTTTACTTTGCTGAATTACAAAAGACATCTTTTCCATCTAAACCAAATTTGAATATTTTTATTCTCGATGCAACATTTGAATTAATAATGAACAAACCCTTTAATTTAGCCCAGATTAAAACATTCAGGTTACTTGTAAGGAGTACAAGGGAAAGAAAAGTTTAGATCTGAAAAGTGTTATAGGAGCACCTGGTGACGGGAACAGTTTGGTGATTCTAGCACTCCCTGAGGGTGTAGGAGACCAATGTGCAATATCCTCCAGTGTCTGGGAGAACAGGATTGTGGCTGACTGGAGATCACACTAACTGCCAAGTGGAGCATCTTTCTCTGTCTACTTAGATGTGTAATGCAAAATAAAGTAATTCCAGCATGGACACTCCTTCTTGAATTGCATTGTGGATCAGACGTTTGTGTGTTGGGCAAGACACTTGGTTCCTAGACTTTGATGAATGTCTGGATGTTTAAAGCAAAATACTGCCAAAAAGAACATACCATAAATGTGGGTTTAGGTCCTTCCTGTGGGAAGTGATGGTCTGTGTCCACTCAGGAGGAAGAATTAAACCAAATCTTCCCCAAAATATATTTGAATACTCAAACCACTGATTTACTTGCTAGAAAATTGACTCTTCCTCTTTGTTTTTTTATTTTTTAAATAAATTTTAAATTCTGTATTTTTTTTTCTCACAGCTGAAATTGTTTGGTGAATTTGTGGAACAGCATAGGCTGTTTGTTAGCCTATGAAAGACACATTTTTTAATTCTAAGATCTTTTTGCTTAAAATATTCTTTTATGTCTGGGCGGTGAGAAAAAAGAGCCAAACAAACTTCTCATTGTGGGCAGGAAGCTGCAGTTGCCTCAGATGAACCTGGGGCACTGCAAGTAGGATACTGCCTTGCAAATTAAGATCTTCAACTAATAATCTGTTAATCACTCATCAGCCTCCTGCTGCTAGTAAGTCTACAGAGCCTCTGAATCCCTTATGGACAGGAATGTAATAGGCAAGCAGGAAAACTGAATTTACTTAATATGTGTAACAAGCACATGATTTAAAGCATGTGGATATGAACATTTAGAAACAAAACCACTGTTTTTCTTCTTCTAAGGAAGATAAAGTTACATCAAGCATTTATTCCAGCTGCCTCAGTAGAAACACACGTTGACCTCTATGTAGTTTTTGGTGAATATCCCTTGGTGTCTCTTGGTGCAGGCATGTACCAGATGGCATCCCAGTAACAGGCTAATGAGCAATGTGACACAGCTGCCAAGGTAGTTTGGTTTAGTCTTTGACCTTTGTTCAGATCTTGTCATGTATAGCCCACATCAGCATAAGACATTGATTACCCTCATTCAATTGACTGAAGAGGGTAAGTCCCATTTACCCATTTCTGTGAGTTTTATAAAAATGAGGTTTATATACAACTAGGTTGATCCCTGTCTAGTCCAAAGGCAAGGGTGTGTCACCAGCCAGATTTAAGATGCTGGCCTTTTAGCAGAATCTGAAGTCTCCTGTGGTGTTTGATTAAACTTTTCATCCTGTATAAAAAGCTAATGGGATATGGCTTTTTATTTACAGCAACTGCTCGCCAAGTCTTTGGGAAATTTTCTTGAGGTGCTGAGTCCAAGGGAAAAGGGAGCAATATAAATCATAAGCAAAGCAGATGTGGTGTTTGTTGTGCTGGGCTTACGGTACACATTGGACCTTCTTACATCGTTGAATTTGCTGCTCTAAGTTGCATATACTGTAGAGCTTAACCTTAGATGCTGTCCAGTCAGCACTGTGTGAGATTCCCAAAATCCTGAAGGCTGCTGTGCTTCATAGAGTGACCTGAGCTCACGAACATTTCTTCCTCTCGTATCTCATGTTTGTCTTGATAGACTGGATAACCTGGAAATCTGTGGTCAAAAGGACTGCCCCAAGCCCTGGGGCTGTGCCACCTACAAGCATGGTAGCAAGGCATCAGCTCCTGGAGCCATCTCTGTGCTTGTGCTGTGCCAACAGTCGGGTGTCGCTGGGAGGGGATAACCTTATTTGTGGTGAAAAGTTGAGCTTTGCCAGGGTATGTCCATATGTGTATATGGACATACACAAATCTTTAATGAGTGGAAGTGATTTTTGAAATGTAGTCAAGGCCATAGGACCTTGGCTGGCTACATTGCTGTTAAATGTTTGTCATGTGCTAGTCCTTCCTCTGTCTTAAAAAGCATCCTGTGAGACAAACCAGAGTTAAATCTGACTTTCCTGTAACACAAAACACTTGAAATTGCAGAAGTTCATGTCCGCAAACTTACAGGATATTTTAGAATCTGGGGAATAAAGAAAAATACTGCAGCAATGATGCTGAAGGGAGCAATGGTCTAAGGATACAAGCAAGGCTATGCTTGCAGGGCAGTATCTTTTATTAGATAAATTCACATGATTAGAAGAAAGACAAAATTTCAAACGCTTTCTTTTTCTCTTTAGGTATGAAATTGGAGCTTCTTATTCAAGTTAAATGTTATTTCTCCATTTATACTGACTCTAGGCAAACATTCTGACAATTCAAGGTATACTTGGTACTTGTGACATAAAAGAGGAGTATAAGCAAGAAAGCAGTGTTAATTTCACTAGTCCTGTGGGAGAAAGGTAGAAAAAGGTTCTTGTTATAATTAAAACACTATTGTTGTGATTCAGACACCATCTGACAGCGATACAGGATCATTTACCAGTAAACTTCATGCCAACAGTGCTTACAAAAACTGAGCTCAACGGAAGTTTTGCATTTACGTCAGATCCCATCCAGGACAGTGGGTAGGGGAGAGGAAATTCACTGGTAAATGGGAAAGGAACAAAACAAAATTGGCAGGGAAAGAAATGTTATTTTCCAGCCTATAATAGGATATGACAAACAATGGATGTAGCTTATAGTTATTTATAAAAAAAGGTCCTTTTGGAGCAGTGACCTTCTTGTCTAACTTTTGTAGAAGATGGAGTTTCACCCCTGCGGGGGAGGAGGGTAAGCAGAGAGTGTTTTAGATTTAACACATCATTCCTCCCCTGTCTAGGCTATGGGAACCTGAGCCCCAGCACTGCAGCTGGTCGAATCTTCTGCATTTTGTTTGCACTGTTTGGGATCCCCTTGAACCTTGTACTCCTGAATGAAATTGGGCAACTGATGTTGTTGGGGGTTCAGCGTTGTGCCCGTTGCCTAGAGGAAGTGTTTCACTGGCAGGTAAGCAACGTGGACAGGTATGCCTCACCATCAGTTTCAGGAAAGAAAAGACAGAAAGGGCATTGTCTGGTATTTGGGCTCATTTGTCTAATGGCCTGCCTACTTACTTGGGCAGAATGACAATAATACTCAGGAATAACTGGAAGCAAATAAATTTAGTTTATGACAGCCCTATGAGGTGTCAGATAAGGTTGTTTATTAATTGAGGAAACTTCTGTGATGAATGGCTTCCCCTACAACAACAGAAGTGCTAGAGTCTTAGAGCCATTCGTGGTCCTAGGATATCTGGTCAGTTTATCATCTGTCATAGTTAGAATTGCACATGTAAGTTACATGTGAACATTTTTTGAATAGACTTTAAACTGGCATGAATTCAGAACTCCTGAAGGTGATGCCCATTTTGTGTTGACTGGGAGAGCTGCACCATTTATCCTGTGGAACGTCATGAATGTTTCTGTGTTTTTATGGAGTCCAGCATCATCTTCAAACAGAAATTGAGCTAGACTTTCCCTGCCACCCTTCTTGTGACAGTCTTGTCTTTTTTTTTCTCTATTTTGCTAGAAGAATGCTTCCTTTGTGATTAAGACCTGTGCATTGGTAACTGGCTTGCTGTTATTCCTCCTGCTACCTCCATTGTTGTTCTTTGACAAGGAAGGCTGGTCTTATGAAGAAGGCTTCTACTATTCCTTCATTACCCTCAGCACTATCGGGTTTGGAGATTATGTGATTGGTGAGTAGCTAACGTTTCATTTCACCTTTTTCATCAAAGCCAAACGTGTGGCATAGGAAACTCATAACTTGGTAGCTTTATACCACTAGAAACCTACAGACCTGATGATAAATGTATTGTGGCAGACATTTGGTAGATTGGAGAAGACATGATTTCTGCAGTGCCACCTGTGGAAGAGTAAAGAAATAGTTTGCCAGTCAATGAATAATCTTCCATCATTAGGGTGATCGGTCTCTTGAGTAACTACCCCACCAGACTGGAGTGCTGTGGTTGCTGATGGTTCACTCAGTGCATTGGCAGCAATTAGTTTTAAGCAGTTGCTGTTCTGCACCTCCATTGACAGATAGTAACCATTTCTTCTGTCAAAACTCCAGAAAACTGCTTTCTAAAATGCAGCTTAACTCATTTAGGTATAGACTGGCAGGCACCAGGCACAGCCTAGTTTTAGTTGCCAAAACCCTTTGCCAGAGGAAATGGGTTTGGACCCATGCCCAATGTATTTGCTGAAACTCAGGACACACCTTTTTGATAAGAATTTGTCATTCAAACTAAATTGGTTATAGAAATACATGCACCCTTGATTCCCTGGGAGGCAGACTAAAACATCTTATGGTTTCTTTACATTCTATTCTTCATAATGCTTGCTTGATGCTTAGGTAACTTATTGGTGGTTACCTTGACTTGTCTGTAATGTACTGAAATTATGACTAGAGCTTGTGCACACCTAAATGAGCTGGAATCAAGTTAGCTTCAGTGGGGGTAACCAGATGGGGATTAACAAGAGCTAGCCAGTTCAACATTTTCCTACAGGTTTTATAGATGTTTTTACAGATATACTCCGTGCTGCAGCAGCTTTCATTTTCTCAGTTCATATTCTCTCAATAACTAGTTTTGAAGCTTTTCACCAGCATACATCACACTTCCAGGCATACCTTCACCTGGGTGGTACCTTTGTAACTGCCACAGATATGATAGGTTCAGTATGGGAATAACCAAATATGTCAGTGACCTGTGGCGTATGTAGAGGCCAAAACCTTTTGGCCTTTATATCACAACTTAAAAATCAGCAGGGCCAGAGCCATGGGCTAAAGTGACTTTCTCTATTTTTTGACTGCCATGCTATTTCCCCCCTAGTGTGAACTCTGGCATGGTTCTGGACTAGGTAAATTCCAGGGAATATCACATGCTGGGAGTGATACCTGATGTTCGCTTTGGACACAGTTGCTATGTTTTAGGGGAAGTAGAAGCCAGGCTATGGCACCTGAATTTGAAGTCACAGATTGGTCCCTAACCTGTTTTATTTATTAATATTGATATGTCTTTTCTTACTGGCCCTGGAATTGTTGATTTACACACTCAGTAAGCGTTGCTATTGGACATGGGGTGCCATGTAGGTCCTAAACTGCTTCTTATCTCAATAGGACAAAAGGAAATAGCCTCAGGTTGTGCCAGGGGAGGTTCAGGTTGGATATTAGAAAAAAAAATTCTTCACTGAAAGGGTTGTAAAGCCCTGGAACAGGCTGGCCAGGGAGGGGTGGAATTTCCATCCTTGCAGGTATTTAAAAGACATGTAGATGAGATGCTTAGGGATATGGTTTAGTGGTGACTGTCAGTGTGGGTTAACAGTTGGACTTGATCTTAAAGTTCTCTTCCAACCAAAATGATTCTATGATTGCACCTATCAGGTGATAAAGCATTCTTATTGGAGGCCTAAAAGAGCCCTTTCCACTTGTTTTCATTTATTATTTAAAAGCAAACAATTTTTAAATCTTTGAATTTCACATTGGTGAATCGTGCCAGTTTGAAGGATGAATATACTACTCTTCCTGGTTAAAATTTACCTTGGTGTAGAAAGCCAGCTGAAAGAGTAGTTACTGCAGAAGTGGCTGGTACCTCCCAAATGTTTCCTAGTGGCTTAGTAACAATCTCAAAATGTTTTGTTGTCCCATTATATTGAAAATATGTACAATGTGTATTACACAATAGATAATAATACCAAGTAAATGAATGTAAAGAGTTGGCTGTTTAATATGGCTCCACTGACTCTTTACTACTTATCACAATATTGCAGACAGTAACAGTTCATGGACCACAATTTGGGAACTGCTAATCTGTGCAGGAAATGACATGGTAGTATTCATAGGTAGGAGTCATAGATGATAAATACCTAAACACCTGCCCTAGGGATGTCCCACTTCAAAGCAGCCCTGTGTGTACTTTTTATTGGAACGTGGTATGGAGAGTGGCCACCAGGTTCATGAAGGTACCACCTCACGTGTTAACTCCTTACACTCTGTACCAGAAGTATCAGGCGTTCTGTAGTATCTGATGCACTGTAAGAATTCAGTTAGAAAGTGACAAACTTCCCTGAGGTAAGGAAAGTAAATATCAAGAGCTCAGAAGCAGTAGAGAAAAAGCCCATGTGAAGACTTTGCTGCTACTGATTTGTATCCTGTACCTTACCTGTTAATTTGCTTTACAGAAACAGCCCAGTCCTCTCATTCCTTTGCTTTGCCTCTATTATTAATTAACATTATTACTGACACTGACTTAGCATGTAAAAGCCTCTTTTCATTAAACAATATGGAAACACAACTGAAAATATTGCTTTCCTCCAAAGGGATCACAAAGTACCGAGCTGAGCAAACAGAGGTAGAATAATTTCAAGTTGTCTTCCAAGGCTTGGTTGTTAGAGGATTTAGGACTGCTCAGGCTTCTTACCTCCCACCCTTAGAGGCTTGCTCACTTGTACCTGGCTTAGCAAGATATATACTCCATTACGTAAAACCTGCTTAGATCTCTGCCTGCAGGGAACCCCTGTTACATACTAATACAATATTGTGGAGCTGAGTGATAAGTAGAGAAATGGAACTGTGCTTAAATGTGAGAAATTTCACTTTGACACAGATGTAATTTGTCATTTTCTTTTTTTTTCTTTTTTTATGGATCATCTTTCCAATTCCTAGGAAGTTCTAGGCTGTTGCTGGTATGTTACAAGCCAAGCTTGCTTACATCATCAGTTCATATGCTAACTATATGGTATACTTATGTTTTACACAGAAATTGCTAATAGTAGGTCATATTTCCACTGTCTTTGCTTTCCATGTAATGTCTCCTTTGAGGCACTCTTGATCCAATCAAGAAATTTTTTGGGTGACTCTCTTGTAGGGATGAACCCTGACCGCACCTACCCAAGCTGGTACAAGAACGTAATCTCTCTGTGGATCCTCTTTGGGATGGCCTGGCTAGCACTGGTTATCAAATTCTGCATCAACTTTCTAGAGAGCTCCACTGACTTCTGTCAGTGCAACAAGAAGAGCACAGAGATGGCAGAAGACTTAATGGATGGCAACAAAAATAGTGTGACGGGACTTCATGATGTGGAGATCTGCAATGACAAAGACAGGAAAACAAAAGGACCAGATGAATCTCACACCTACAAAGCTCCTACAGAAGCACTCTAGAGAAGAAATATATCTTTACTGTCTCTTAGGGTTTAGTGCACTGGAGATCCACCACTTAGAAATGCAGGAGTAGAGCTGCTCTGACATTCACATGGGGTGAAAGCTTACTTATTGAGCTTGAAGTGCTTCTATTCTGAATTGAGCAATGACAACAAAATGTTTCATTTGCATACCACTGAGAATTACCAATGGGACTCTTAGCCAAAAGTAGTTTTACAGAGTTATTATCTACCCTCCCATCTCAATATATTAGGTAAACTTTGACATCTGTACACAACACTGTTGTCCTTTGCTTGCAAAGTTCTTATAGCCACTGATTGTGGTACTTGAAAAATTCCATACATACAACTAGGAAAGCAAGTTCCATTTAACGCAGGGAACAAGCTGCATGTTGCTAAAAGCCTTAATGAACTGTACTATTTAAAGCCACCTGACAGGCACTGTAAATGTGCTCCATCACCTATGTGCTTGTGCTTGCCAAAGGTGGTAACATGCTTTTACTCTCTGATCATTATTACAAGGATTGCAATGAGATAGAGCTTGTAGAGGTGCCTAATAGAAATAGATCATTCAATTTTTTTAAAATAGATTTCTACATCAGAGGTCCACTAATTGAAAGAAGAGACTAGGTAGTTAGGCTATTCCTTACTCCAGAACACATCCAGGCTCATCCTTTGTAAAGTATTATGTAGACCACACATCATCAGCTAAATGTGACAGTTCATTTAGATTTTTATTTTGCTAAATCTTGAAGCTAGAAAAATACAGGTAGAGGCAGTTTTAAGTGCCACTAAATCCAAAATTATCCTGTGGCAAATGTTAACAAGAGCTACTTGAATCTGGAAACAGACTGAAGTATCTTCAACTATGATCAAGAGATGCTATTCTGATTAACTTCTCATGTGCTATAAGCACAACTATCTTTTGGCCTGTGGAATGTCAGACCTGCTTATTTGGCCTTTGTGTCAGTCATGAAACAGAACTGTTATGGGTGTGTTTTAAAAATTCTTTTAACTTTTCAGAGATATTCTGATAAATTGTGCCATTTGTAAAGGCTCAGCAGCCTAACTTCTGCTGCCATTTATATACTCATATCTAATCTTCTCATTTTCTTATGCCTGATTTGCTACTTACACCCTAGAGCATTAACTTGGAAAACTTGACCATAGCAGTAAAACAGAACAAAGGATTTGGGTGAGCCTTTAGTTTCTGCATTGGCCCGAGATTCCACATGGATAGTGGAGAAAAGACTGTGCAAGTACAATCTGTTGGAGTAGGGGACTCAGGAATTAGAGATATCCATAACTGGATTCACAGAAATGCAGTGAGCAAAAGGTTTACAGTCTTCAGGATCACAAGTTATGGAACATGTATTGGGAAAAAGTATTTCCAGAATAAGCCAGTTTGATTGTTGGTATGCAGTGGCAGTAGTTACAGAATAAAATGCAGGAAAGGAATCTGCTGGATGAAATTTAGTCTGTCAACCTTTTGTCAGGTTTTTTGTCACCAGCCTTTTACCAACTCTCTAGTAATAAATGTTCTCTCAAATACTGCTTCAATGGGCAACAGAGATGGGAAAGAGAGGTAGTGGAAATCTCAAGTCATATCTGAGAAACTGATGAAAAAAAAATACATTTCAATTTTTTGAATATTGGGTAATTTCTTTAACAGCCTTTAGCATAAATTTTTCTGTTTCATCTCTGTTCTGTCCTGTTTATTTTCACTGATGAATACACAGGGTAGGTTTTGCTAATGTTCACAATGGGCTGGCCTACAATAAGACCAAAATGTGTTTCTTTAAATCTAAGTGAATCCATTCTACAGCCTAAAATGTGATACCCTTTTACGCATATCTTTTGCACCTTCTTTCAAGTGCAAATTTTACTGTTGTAAAATTTGGACGACTGGAGGCTAGTAGGCTAGAGTCACAGGCTATGTGGATTTCTACCAGCTTTGCTCTTGCATGAGAAGGCTTAGGTTCAGAAGAATTCTTTTCAATTTAAACATCTATTGTGTTAATCGCATCTAATTTGTGTTCCCACATGTTTGTAGTTTGTGGAGGATGTTTTTGAAAGTGCCATAGAGGTTTGGACATCCTGGTCCCACTGAAGTGCAAATGCAGTTGCATGCCTTAGGACAGCTAATATACACTCCTGAGCTAAAAGGAAGAGAACTCCAGGAGTAATCCTGAAAAAAGGAAAAACCAGTAATTCCTCATAGATCTCAGTGCTTCCACTGTATGTTAGGGTTCAACCACAAACTTAAGCATGTAGCTAGGTCTCAAGGTGACTCAATATCTGCCCCAGCAATCCTGGCTGATTCACTTTCTTCCACAGCCATGCTGTTGTGTTACCCAGCAGCTCACCACCAGGATAGTCCTGCCATCAACTGTCTGACACAGCATCCATCACAGGAGGCACATCTGCACTTCTTGCAAGCCACATGTAACTCCAAAGCTGCAAGGTGTCTGCTTGTGTCCTGGATCACCTAAAAAAATATTTAATAATTGACTTAACTACCATTTCTGACTGGTTCTCTGATGCCAAATTACTCTGTTGTCACTTGTGAATATCCTTTTATTGGCAGTTCTTCAGCTAGCTTTTGGTAAGGACAAAAGATATTATTGCATCTGAGTCTCCACAAACTGCTCTGTCTCTGGTCTTTCTGTTCTTTACAAAGCTTTGTTGCAGCTAAGTGACACGGATGAACTTGTTCCCAGGAGAATGAGAAGAAAGCGGAGTTTTGCAACATCACAAAAACATCATCACTGATGTGTCTACTCTACCAAAATATGAAAGGTTATCTGCTCAAGGGTAAAATAAAGAAAACAAAAGCGTGGTGCTGTTATCATTCTTGTCATAGCTGACTTGCAGTTCTCTGTAATCTGCATCGGAAAATTACAGATGCTCCTTGATATTTTTTTTTAAATGTCTCTTCCCCTTCAGTTTCCATTAGTGATTTTGGATTAGACTTTCACTGCTATTATTCACAAGTCAATTCTTCTCTTATTATCCAGTTTTTTTCCTTAGGAGGAGCAGAGACTGGAAGCAGGTTTGATTAGTAGTGGTAGTTGTAAATATTTATGTAACATCCGTGCCCAGAGGCTTTTTCACAGTCACATAGAGTATAATGTGCTTCTGACCTTTATACAGTTTCCCAGGAAATCAATCCCTTAAAGCAAGAAAGCAAGCCTCTCTCTAGCTCCCCTACTCCAAGGACAAGTCCTAGCTTCAGCCTCAGTGTTTCTTATACTGGGTTTTCCAGCTAATCCAAAAGAGATGTTTACCCCTTGGGGAGAGATATGCCCAGAACTATGTAATAAGATGTTACAACAACATAGTACAGTCTGCTCAGAACTGCAGAGTTTGTAATAGTCTAGTTGACTACATTTTTTTTTTAAACTCCCTAGACTAGAACAAAAAAGCCCTTTTTCCATATTGGTCTCAGAGTCAAAAAAATCCAGGATGTTATTTTTCTCATGCTCGTTGGCTCATGAGATCTTATCTTACAACTGATGTCTTCCTGTAAAACTGGTATCTCAGTTCAGTTTAGAGCTTGGACTGTTTAGCCAAGAGAAGGCTCAGGAGTATCTCATCAATGTATATAAATACCTGCAGAGAAGGTGTGAAGAGAATGGAATCAGGCTCTTCCCAGTGGTGCCCTGTAACCACTGGTCTGGTACACCTGATTTTTCCCAGGTCAAAAATGGATCTTTCCACTCTGAGTAAGCTCAATGGGGTGGTTTATTTATGTATGTTTTTCATTAAAACTTACAGAATTTATCTGTGCAGGAGGCACATCTGAACTTAACCAAGGTTTAGGTTCCATTGCACTGGGCAATTCATAGATGCCAATTATTTTAATCTCACATTTAGAGAGCAGCTTTATATGAAGAGTGGTACAGAGCAGATCTGGTTAGTTGGTGGGATAGAGGGGATTAGAGACAACTGTACCATTCAAAAAATGAGCAATAATGTTCAGCTTTTCAGCTTGGTGTAGCCTCACATCGTTGTTATACATCTGTCTACAAGTTGCAGCAAAAGGATTCAACACTTCAGGTCTCTGACACACTTCAGGTAAGACAAACCGCACTTTGGTTTCCTATTTCAAAATTAGAAGCTTACAGTAATACAGGTGGATACTTACCAAATGAATCAGAGCAAAATTTTAATGTAATTAAGTCTTATAACATGAACCTTCCATCTCTGTAAAGAAATATTCTGTCTGGTGGAAGAGGGGAATGCAATAAAAAAATGGGTCTTTTTCAGTACTATTACACTATGACTTAGGAAAATGTGCGCTTGATAGTGTCTTCCATTACAATAGTCCTGGATATGTGTGAGGTAGTATCAGGACACATGATTTTTGTGATTGCTATTGAGCACCTTTTTGGGTTTAGAGGGTTGGGTTAGTTTTGGTTTGGTTTTTTTTTACTTTTGTTTTAATATCTGAAATGCTGGGGTTTGAACCCCGTGCCCCCGAATTAAGGTTGCCATATGGGTGATTCCCACAGCCCTTCATACAGAGGGGGTGAGTTTGCCTTAGAGCTTCCCCCCAGGGTGCGGCCGGCCCTGCAGGGAGAGCCAGAAGGGAAATGAGCCCCAGGGGTCCCGCAGTGAGTTGACAAAGGTCAGGTGTGTGCTTGGGGATAAAAGCTGTGACCACTGGCAGGGAGTCAGGAGTGTCTGTCTGTGGAGTGCACTCCCCAGAGCTTCCTGGTTCAGGGCAGACCTCCTGACTCTCCTGGAGCTGGGCCCTGGTCTGTTTAGGCCTTTGTGAACGCGGGTCAATCAGGTGAGAGTTGCCATGTGGGCACCTTTTTCTCATGTGTTTAACTGGCTGGTCTGGCTGTTTTCCCTGCCCACTGTGGGCAACCTCGGGTCTCTGTTTGTACCACCTGTTGTGGGCCGGGTCATGTTGTTTGTGGCATCATTGGGGGTAATGTTGATCATGTCTGAGCTTGTTGACCTGTTTGTACCCTCGGCGGTCGTTCCTATAGT